TTTAGGTAGGAGGAGATGAGCTACCTGTTCTTTATATCTTTATATGTGTCTATGAATATGTTTAGGTAGGAGGAGATGAGCTACCTGTTCTTTATATCTTTATATGTGTCTATGAATATGTTTAGGTAGGAGGAGATGAGCTACCTGTTCTTTATATCTTTATATGTGTCTATGAATATGTTTAGGTAGGAGGAGATGAGCTACCTGTTCTTTATATCTTTATATGTGTCTATGAATATGTTATGGTAGGAGCAGATGAGCTACCTGTTCTTTATATCTTTATATGTGTCTATGAATATGTTTAGGTAGGAGGAGATGAGCTACCTTTTCTACCAAACCTTTGCCAATCTCCTTTTGCTGACATGTGTATTCAAGTTCAAGATTATCATTTTTATTGTCACAAGGTATTAAAAATACAGTGTACTATATAGTTTGATTTCAGATGAAATAAACAGGTATATAATAGTTAAATATTCTAAATGTGAAAATTTTCAGCATTGTATGCTTTGAAAATTATCTACATATACTTGTAATATTCAGGTGAAACAGTCCATTTTTATTGTGAGTTTTTTTCCTTTTTAAAGTATCCATTTTTTAAATGATAGTACTTATTTTGGTGGAAATTTGAAAACTGCCAAAATTTAACAAATAGTGAGAATTAATTGCATTTTTATAAGAACTATTTTCATATATTTACACCAAGGCTTGCCACCTTAACACCATAGGTGACATGTTTAATACTTCTATATTTGGTTTCTGGTTATTTCATGACCATTACATAGCACATTAGCACCAGTAGGTAGATTTATGACTGAGTGAATATGAAAGCCTTCCCAAAGAGAAACACTGATATAAAATGGGCCATGTCTCTTGTTACCATTAACAAGATAGAAGATGAGGATTTGAAGTTGATGAAGACTCACAACATAAACATAATCCCATTTGACCACACATCTGTCACATCATCTGATACAATTCAAAGAGACTTGAACTCTTTCCATATGGGGTTGGTCAACGTGACTTATCTTGTAACCACAGGTTTCTGTACTGTAACTTTTTATATCTTTTCTGTACATTCATGAAATTTGGCAATCTTTCGTTAAACATTGTCTTTTGTACACAAGAAAATCAGATATTTTAATGAAGTATTTTTATGTGAATATATGGAGTCTGAGTATTGACTGCTCCATGCACAATGTCATTTTTATGTGAATATATGGAGTCTGAGTGTTGACTGCTCCATGCACAATGTCATTTTTATGCTAAGATTATACATACTTTATCTGGAAATTGTCTAATTTTACTTGCATAGTCTTTAAAAATCTCCTAAATAAATATTCAATTTTTTTCGGAATATCTTTATATCTTACCTGTTATTTTCTCAACTATAACTGTACCCATTCCATCAGTTTGACTGACCTCATAACCACCATAAAAAATATGTAATACATCTAAATTACCTTTTTCTTTCTAGAATGACTGCATATTGTAACATGAAGCTACAATTCTTTATCCTAAATAGTTTAAAGCTCATAACAGTCTACCTCTGTTTATACTTAATTTTATTATTTTATTGCCCTTTGAACTGTCTTAACTAATAATCCCACCACACTAGTTGTAAATCACTTGGTGAACACCTAGCACATGTTAGTATGTTCAATGACATAATGCATGAGCTTCTTGTGAGCATACCTCATGAATAATTATTATTTTCTCATTATCTAATCTAACTTAAGTTTCTAATTTGTACATTTTAGTTACTTTCATAACAGTAACTAAAGAATATACATGTCTGCAAAATCTGGCTCTGAGAAATACTGTCCTAAATAAATATCAAAAGGTTTTTAAGGTAAATAGTTACATTTTATGTTTCATTTTCTCTACCATATCACTAATTATAAATATTATCGACATATAATGCAATAAGATGTTTGAAATTAAAAAATAGAAAAACAGATACCTTTAAATTTTTCATAGAATATTTTAAGATATCTGCTTTTGGTTATATTCTTAACTTCAGGTCTTTTTTTTTACAAATATAGTTAATTTTAATGTATTATTTTCCTTTTCTGTCCTTTACCTTTTATTATTCATCTCAACATAAGTCAGTGGTGCCCTTAGGGCATATTGCAATATCTTCAGCACAGATACACAAACTTTAGGCAAAATTATCTTACACTCTTGTAAAATCATAAGCCTTGAGAACTGAGGCAAAGTTTAAGATATATTTATCAAATGTTTAAAACATAAATATTAGATAATTAACTAAAATATAAAAGTAAAACCTAGAATTAATTTAACTCTCTCTCTCTAACTATAACATATTTAGCCAATAAACGACCATAAGTGTTATCATGGACAAAGCAGCTAACAATATTATCTCTATCTAACTATAACATATTTAGCCAATAAACGACCATAAGTGTTATCATGGACAAAGCAGCTAACAATATTATCTCTCTCTAACTATAACATATTTAGCCAATAAACGACCATAAGTGTTATCATGGACAAAGCAGCTAACAATATTATCTCTCTCTAACTATAACATATTTAGCCAATAAACGACCATAAGTGTTATCATGGACAAAGCAGCTAACAATATTATCTCTCTCTAACTATAACAAATTTAGCCAATAAACGACCATAAGTGTTATCATGGACAAAGCAGCTAACAATATTACCAGCAGTTACATCTACCTAATGAAGACAATTGAGTGCTAATTAAGTATTGTTGGATTATAGTGTTGGGTTGGCAAAATGTATCTTGTTTTTGTTTTACTGTAGCTGTCTGGTTTAAGTTAGAGATGGTGAAAGCTCAGATTTATGAATGCTTGTGTGTCATATGAGAACAAAACTGAAGTATAAGTGTATTTTGTTATCTTTTGAGATAAAGGAATTAAAACTTGGATAACATAAAACTTTGAATTATAATATACGTTATCCCTGTTGCCAAAGGAATCCTTTACTGAGCATGACACAAGGTTTTAGAGTCTTACATTCAAAATTTTGTTAAACTACTTTTTGTTTATTTTATACCAATTAGAATAGCATAAAATCTTAGCTAATAATCCATCTTTTATAGTATACAAGTTTTAAGTTCTTGATTCTACAAGGCAATATAAAAAAAATTCTGAATTTTCACTAGTGTGACCCATGCGAAACAGTTTCTCCTAGCATGTTATCATCCCTATTTTATCCACCACACTTCAAAAAAGTATGAAATTAAACATAAAATACTCTCTATAAAATTGTTATTGCACAGAAAAATAATAATTTTTATAGTCTTTAATTTTGTTTGGTTACAGAGCTATCGATCAGAAAATCAGACCCCTCCTGCCACACCTACCTGTCACATCCTCTCTTTCAGAATTCATTGATAGTTCTCTTTTACATTTCATTATATATTACTCATAACCAATAAAAAGTCAAGGTTTTCATTTATCAAATGATGTATTGTATAACATTATGTTCTCAACAGTTAGATATCAATTTTACTCAAAGTACCAACATCGTTCCTGTGGGAAAGTTTAACGACTAGCTTGGATGAATTTGTAATGGCTCTTGTCGCATAGTTAGAAAACCAGACATATTTTGAGAGGTAAGACAATTTTTCCACTTTTTGTATATTAGTCTATATTCTTTGGTGCATTATTTAATTAAATAAAAATTAAGTGTGTTACTATCATTAGTATAAAAAAGTAGGATTAACTCTCTTCAAAAATCCAACAGCAAGAAAAAAGAAGATTGCTTAAATATTTTATTTCTTGGTTTTCATATTTATTCTTTATGTATAATTATAAAAGTAACTAAAATGTAAAAATAGGGATCCTTTTAGGTTTGTTAAGATTAGATTAGGTAAAATAAATAATATTAATATTATAATAAAAATATTTCATGAGGCACATACGTAAGCAGTTTGTGGATAATGTAATTTGTTAGCGTATCATGAGCAGCACGTTCCTCGAGTGATTTACAACATGGATAGTAGTTAGACGTGGTTCAGAAGGCAATAAAACAATAACATTTAATTATGAATAGATGTATACTGTTACAAACTTAGAGCTACTTATGATAAACGAATAGTTTCATGCTACAATTTGAAGTTATTCTAGAAAGAAAAAAGAGCAATTTAGGTGTATTTCTTCTTTTTTTATATATGTGGTTATGAGGTTAGTCAAATTGACCAATCCCGTTTTGAGATAGGGTAGAGAAAATAGCAGATAAACTATAAAGTTTTACTGAAAAAAACGTTTGAAATGCATTTAGAAGGTTTTAGGGATTACACAAAGGAAATTTGAGATGATGAAAATTATTTTTGATATTAACATGAAAATTACTTTGCACATGGACTATTCAAAACAAATACTCAATATATTCATGGACAAATCTTTGTTTTATTTTATTGAAAATATTTCACTAAAAAATATGATTTTTTGTATGTTAAAGACTTAATATTAACTGAAAGTCTGCCAAATTTTGTGAAGATGTACACAATATATTGAAAGTTAGAATTATTAAATCTGTACAGACTTTAAACGAGTACAAAGAGGTCACATGGTCACTGTTGTGTTGAGAGAGTTATAATGTTCATTTCATTGACATACATTGATAGTAAAGCTGTTTAATTAAATTTTGAATGTAACTCAGTGACTGGCATAGAAAGAAGATTAAAGGGGTACCTGTGTCAAAAGGGTTAATTAGCTTAAATGTATTCTCAGAAACCAGTGTTTACATAAGGTAGAAGGTTTATGGAAAGTTCTTTAAATTGTGTCATCTGAGACTTATATTTCTGTCCTTCACAAAAACTTGTTACAATGGACATGCAGCATCAGATAATAATAGAGGTTAATAAAGACCATCAAATTGAGCATCATCAATTATGAAGTAATTCCACAAAAAACAATATAGGATCCAAAACATTGTTCTTATATAATGTTCTTAATTTTATCTGTGTTTGACATAATTTTGTACAAACAACTCTTGACAATTAAAACATTGCTACTGTTTGTGTACTTAGAAAAAATACTTTCTAAAGAATGTTTTATAATCTAAATGTACTTTTAAGTAAAATGTGCATATGCAAATGTCAGCATTGAAAATTAGAACTAGTTTAGAATTTGAGGGGTACAATTATTGCCAAATTTTGTGTAATACGTTATTTCACCATAATAATTATAATTTTATGAAAATAAGAGATCATGCTATAAATATAAACTATAATTGTCATAAAATTTAGTGACTTAAAAGCAATACTTGTGTTTTATTTATTTATGGAAACTTAAAACAATTCTTTAAAATGTTTTTGTGAAAGAATGTTACACATGAGTGAAACTCATTGCTGATATTTTTGACAGATCTTTTTCTGTGGGAGGAGTGATTACTTCAAAGTTTTAATAACTGGCAACTTTATAGAGACCCAGTGTGAAGAGACAAGCGACATAACTGTTGTAACATTGCATGATATTTCCATGGAAGTGTTTCTCAGGGTATTGATGTACATTTATAGGAATAGTACAGAGGTAAGTTTCTTAGTGAAAATTTGAATACCTGCTGCAATAAATATAGATGAAACCTCAAACAAACTTACTGTGAGATGATTTATATTTTGATCTATAGCTGACAAGTAAATGAACATATGATAAATAAATATATAAGAAATTTATTTAATTTAAACTAAAAACTATTTATCAAAATATAGAAATTAGCTTTATTATCAGTGTTATGACTGAACTACATATAGGCCTAGAACTTTCAAAAATCTAGAAGATACAGTCTGCTGCAATAACAGTAATAAAAGTTGTTCTTTAACTTAAGTGTAACCAAACTGTAAACAGTATCTTAAGATTGTATATTTTTAGTTGCATGCTTATTTTCCTTTTGGTATAAACAACGCCTCTTGTAGAAGTCCACTTGATCAATAAAAGAAACCAATGGTCTTTTGTTCTTCAGTATAACTTGTGGAAAAAGTTTTCAGAAATTAGCTTGTTTGGTACATGTAGATCGAAGTGTTACCTGCTCTCAGATATTTTCCTCAAGACACAAAGACTATATATTGCCTTTTAAAATAACACCCATTATTTGATGGCTAAAAGCATTGAGCAGAATATGAAATAAAATTGATTTATTTTACACATCTCTTTATTACATTATTGCTATTTGCTATGTTTAGAGCAAATGTCCTTCATCAGGCTTAACTGTTTGACATTTCAAATGGACAGTTGTTAAGAACTTAGGCTAAAGAAAACACAAGTTGCATGTGTATAGAACACAAAACATGTATGCAAACAGTACTGATGTAATACACATTGTTTTCTCACCATAACAATTACAATGTTATGAAAATAAGAGATCAAGCTAAAAATGTGAAAACTATAATAATGATAAAATTTAATGACTTAAAAAACAATACAATGGTGACAAATCTTTTAAACTGTTCTGAAATAATTGAGTATTAAAAAACAGAGTTGTCATTCATATTAATAAATAGACAAATACAGTTAAAATTGCATAGGCACCAAAAATATCAAAATTAAATAATAACTTGAACAATTCTTGTTGATTATTTTTTTATTGACAATAGAAGATATTCCCAGAATTTTCACAATTTTTGTTGTTGTTGTTTGAGGGTTCTATTTTATAACCATAACTTTCACTTGACAAATAGGGACATTTCTCTAAGTTGGATTACTGTATGGTTTTCGGAGACTGTTGCTGTCCTAAACACTGCAATGTAAATTTTTCCAATTCTATAGAGAAAATTAATGTCACTATGTTATGTCCTTGTCTTTAGACAAATGAACATCTTCACTGTGAAAACGTTCTTCCTCAGAAGAGCTTGTAATGTTTTCCTACAGATGTATTTTTTTCCTTGAACCAAATAGAGTTTCTAAACAAGTCACTTATGGTACCATAGCTTGTGTCTACAGTGATATCCTACTCTCATGTTATTGAATTGATTTTACCTTTACAACTATCAATTGTACTTATGGTACCATATCTTGTGTCTACAGTGATATCCTACTCTCATGTTATTGAATTGATTTTACCTTTACAACTATCAATTGTACTTATGGTACCATATCTTGTGTCTGGCAGTGATATCCTACTCTCATGTTATTGAATTGATTTTACCTTTACAACTATCAATTGTACCTATGGTACCATATCTTGTGTCTACAGTGATATCCTACTCTCATGTTATTGAATTTGTTTTACCTTTACAACTATCAATTGTACTTATGGTACCATATCTTGTGTCTACAGTGATATCCTACTCTCATGTTATTGAATTTGTTTTACCTTTACAACTATCAATTGTACTTATGGTACCATATCTTGTGTCTACAGTGATATCCTACTCTCATGTTATTGAATTTGTTTTACCTTTACAACTA